GCCTGTCCAGGTCTCGCTGAATGGCAGCACAGCCTTCTGGTGTATCAGCCACTCCTCCCAGCTTTGTGTCATCAGCAAACTTGCTGAGGGTACGCTCTGTCCCTTCAGCGAGGTCATTGATGAGTAAGTTGAACAAGATTGGGCCCAGTACTGACCCCTGGGAAACACCACTAGCTAGAACCCTCCAACTAGACTCAGCGCCGCTGATGACAACCCTCTGAGCTCTGCCATTCAGCCAGTTCTCAATCCACCTCACCATCCATTCATCTAGCCCACACTTCCTGAGCTTGCCTACAAGGATGTTATGGGAGACAGTGTCGAAAGCCATGCTGAAGTCAAGATAAATAACATCCACTGCTCTACCCAGCCAGTCATGCCATCATAGAATGCTATCATATTGGTCAAACATGATTTCCCCTTGGTGAATCCTTTGAAGTGTCTCACTTCACGGTGAAGTCACAAAGCTGCCCACTTGTAGGAGCCACATTAAGGTCTGTTCTCTTCTGTGTTCCTAGATGCGATCACCTACAATTGCTAGATTTGTCCTCGTATCCTTTCTCTTAAGTGCTACATTACAGGCTACAGAAAAGTAAGCCAGAGCAGCCATATATGGCTTTCAATTTGTGCCATGAATTACATACTAGGGTTACGTGGCTAAGTTTATTAATTCACCTTCTCAGTCAGCAGAAAATATCATTCCTAGCAGGTAAACAATGGTTTACAGTCAGACCAGGGCTCTGGCTATTGCTTGTTTTGCATTCCTAGTCAACTAGTTGAGACAGCCCAGCAGGGAGGGGTATTCCAAAGGCATCTATCTCTGCACAACAGCATGAAACTACAGCAGACAGGATCCCAGTGGGGCTTGGACTGAATCATGATTGAGGGATGCAAGAAGTTCTCACAGGTGAATTTATATTCATCACAAAACCTGTTTTAAGAGGAGGAAAACATAAAGCAGTTCTCACTCCAATTCATTATCATCTGGGAAAGGTAAACAGACCTTTAACGATGGCTTGTCTAAAGGACTGGATCTGAGCTCCAGGAGCTGTGACTCATCCTGGCAGAGAACTTCGGAAGGCTGCTAGGAGACTGGAAGGCTGAAGCTACCTTAAAGCCAAACCAGAATGGGAATTAGCTATTAAACATGTTATTGTTTCATTTCTTTGACTCTCTCCAAGCCTTTTAAGCTTTGCTTTTCAATGTACTCTTTTTTTCTTCCATTTATTTAATGTGGAAAGTGATTCCAGCACAGCTGACAAACCTCAGGCATCCTATTGGCAAAGGAACAGCAAATCCATCATGGTATGTTGGCTTTTGCTCAACTAGACCCCCCTGAACTCTGGGATCTAACAGCACTACTCCAAATACTTGTAAGGGTGGGACACTCTTAAGATGGTGGTTAGAAGAAGTAGTCTCACATTAGAAAGTGTTGACCAGAACTTCTAACAGGCAACAGCAGTAGAGAGACATGGCAATTGCCTTAGAAATGCAAGACTTAATTTGATCATGGGGCATTTTCTACACTATACTTTCTGAAGAGTGTGATATTTATGGCATACTGAAGACAGATAACTATTTCATTGTCTTCAGTAAGTAAGACCTCGGTTTGAGAGTGATTTGAATAACACCACCACACTGAATTTCATTCATGTGGTCTTAAAAATGAAGAAACAGAAGTCCTCATACCAAAGGTTCAACTTGAAAACTGCTGAAGATGTACCCCTTTGGTTTGACCTGTACGTATACCTCAGCCACAGCTCCTGACTTTTTGCCTGCATACGGGTACTCATCTGAGCTACAAGGAGCAGCGCGTGGCTATGGCCAGGTGGGATAATTGGCACCTGCTTGCTGCTGTGTGCAGTAGCACTGCCAGGTCTCCCTTCACCTGCTCCGTGAGCCATGCCAACACGTCGACCTGTACTTCTGGCTTGAGATGCTGGAGCAGCACCCAGGCAAGGGAGTGGTAGGAAACACCGGATCATTAAGATGGAATTTAATTTAGGTGGACAAAGGAATGCAGTAGAGGTCCTAGTTAGTGGGCGTGAGGAAGGTAACGATGGGGAGCTGCAGTCTTCTTTGGAAGGGTGGAGGGAGAAAAGTGTGCAAGGAAAACAAAGGGGAGGAAAGGATGCCATGTCTCCTCCCACTACATGCCAGGCCATGCACAGCTCTCAGCTGCAGACACCAGCATCATATGACTGCTCTACATAAACGAGAAGCTGCAATACAATTCCTCAGAATTCCCCAACATACAGAGGCCGTGCTGATTTTAAAATAGGTTCCCATCTCCAAAAGTCACCTACACAGACGTCTAAAGAACTTATTCCTTCCACACTGGTATGATTATGCATTTTTCAAGACAGGAAATTACGATTTGTTCAATGTTTTACAGTTGCACATAGCTGCAAGTTCCCTGCATTATGCTACCCATTCCCCTTGTGAAGGGATTGTGTTGGGGAAAACAGGCCAGTATTTACTAGGAAATGTTATGAACAGAATCGGGCAGATTTTACGAATAGCCAAGGATATTCACACAGTGCATTCAGTTCTGTCCCGCCTACAGTCCACTCCTGCAACAACTTGTGCCACCTTGCTGAAGCAACAGTCAGGAGGCCAAGCCCAGCTGCCGGGTGGTTGGACTGATGGGCTACTGGTTTCCAGTTAGGTGTTCAAAAAATCCCTCAGGAGATCCTCTTTCTTCCCGAGAATACTGCCCTGTAGCCTACACTCGCCACTTGCTCAAATGCAGTTGAGTTACACAACGTGCTGTTGATCCTAGTGTGCTTGTAGTGGCCTTGGATGGGTTTGGCAGACTCGTTCTGCTTGGAGTTTACAGGATGGGGATCACTGCTGTTCAGTGTATCACTGCTATTCAGGCTTTATCTGGTCTTGGGAGGTTTTCACCTGCTCCCTCTCAGCGCATAGTTTCCCTCCCTGTGAACTGGTTTTCTGGTAGCTATTGCTACATCCACAGACTTAGTCACCTGTTGGACCCATTCACACAAACTGACACCAAAGGGGCTTCTATGACAATATCCCACATTGATTTAATTCAGAATGAATACTGCCCAAAAAAAGAAAAAAACCAAACAAAACAAGGACTGAGCAAGAGGGACATGAGAAAGCAAGCCAAAAAGTGAAGCAACTAAGTGAAAACGACAGGAAAACAAAGGCAATCTGCAGAAAACAAGATACAACAGCTTCTAGAATCACATTATATACTCATACTATAAAAAGTAGTACCCATTGCTGTTAGTTTGAAGGACCAAAGAGGAAAAGTTAGGACAGAATGTTATTAAGGTGATTTAAATCAGATGCCTTCTAGTACATTTGATGACATATTTTCAAAACTGTCACAGGGAGCTGTATGTCCCTTGTGGGCACAGAGCCCTGTCTTCTGCTACTGTGTCTCAGTGGACTGGATGCTTGCTACCATAATGCACAGATCTTTTCTCCTCCCCCCTTGCCAGTCAAGGGCTGTGAATGCGATGTTGCATGAAAACAATTTGTAATATAGGCTGACAGTCACCTATTCTTTCTTCAAACATCCTCAGTGGTTATAGAAAACAACTTCAAAACCAACTTATTTTTAGCAACTGAAAGAATTCAAGCAAACATGCTGTGGCTGCTATCCAGGCGTTTACAGAGTGCAGAATAGCTTGACAAATTACAGAAATGGACAAACTCAGAGTGTAAATCAGAAAACAGTGTATATCACTATTTACATATGCTTGCCTGTTGAAAAGATTAAGGCTTCCAACGTCAAAAGAAAGAACTGCTGTTTTTATGAGCCATGCATGAATCACAAAAAAACAAAACAAAAATCCCCATACACTTAACAGTTAGGCAGATTTCTCAACATACTGCTAACAGC